AGGGAGGTTTGGATGGGGACCCCAAAACTCTGGATTTGAAGGGAGGTTTGGATGGGGATCCCAAACTTTCCTGGATTTGGAGGGAGGTTTGGATGGGGATCCCAAAACTCTGGGTTTGGAGGGAGGTTTGGATGGAGATCCCAAAATTCTCTGGATTTGGAGGGAGGTTTGGATGGGGACCCCAAAATTCTCTGGGTTTGGAGGGAGGTTTGGATGGGGATCCCAAAATTCTCTGGATTTGAAGGGAAGTTTGGATGGGGATCCCAAAACTGGATTTGGAAGGAGGTTTGGATGGGGACCCCAAACTTTCCTGGATTTGAAGGGAGGTTTGGATGGGGACCCCAAACTTTCCTGGATTTGGATGGGAGGTTTGGATGGGGACCCCAAAACTCTGGATTTGGAGGGAGGTTTGGATGGGGACCCAAAACTCTCTGGATTTGGAGGGAGGTTTGGATGGGGACCCCAAAACTCTCTGGATTTGAAGGGAGGTTTGGATGGGGATCCCAAAATTCTCTGGATTCAAAGGGAGGTTTGGATGGGGACCCCAAAACTGTCTGGATTTGGAGGGAGGTTTGGATGGGGACCCTAAATCTCTGTGGGTCTGAAGGGAGGTTTGGATGGGGATCCCAAAACTGGATTTGGAGGGAGGTTTGCATGGGGACCCCAAAACTCTGGATTTGGAGGGAGGTTTGGATGGGGACCCCAAACTTTCCTGGATTTGAAGGGAGGTTTGGATAGGGACCCCAAAACTCTCTGGATTTGGAGGGAGGTTTGGATGGGGACCCCAAAACTCTCTGGGTTTGAAGGGAGGTTTGGATGGGGACCCCAAACTTTCCTGGATTTGGAAAGGAGGTTTGGATGGGGACCCCAAAACTCTCTGGATTTGGATGGAGGTTTGGATGGGGATCCCAAAACTGGATTTGGAAGGGAGGTTTGGATGAGGACCCAAAACTCTCTGGATTTGGAGGGAGGTTTGGATGGGGACCCCAAACTTTCCTGGATTTGGAGGGAGGTTTGGATGGGGATCCCAAAACTCTCTGGGTTTGGAGGGAAGTTTGGATGGGGACTCCAAACCTCCCTGCCAAGGCCTTTCCATGAAGAAACTCCTCCTGATGTCCAACCTGAGCCTCTCATGGCACAACTTGAGGCCTTTTCCTCTTTTCCTGCCCGTTGTTCCTTGGGAGCAGAGCCCGACCCCCACCTAAAGCATCAGCTCCCTCTGCCTGACCAAGCTTCATTTATCAACACTCAGGAGCTTTCCAGAACTCCCTCCAGCCTCCCAAAACCAGGTGAGGAGGCTGAGAGCAGAGCCACTCACAGAGAAATCCCTCTTGGGTGTGAGTTTCTTGGGGAAGTGGTCGAAGGCGTAGGGCTTGGTGCACACGGGGTAGCGGTTGCGGTGGATCTTGTAGAAGAGGTGAGCAGATTTATCCAGGCGGTAATCACAGATGTAAACATCCTGCTCCTTCACGCCCTTCGGCCTCCCTGGCACCAGAACAAGGAGAAAACAGTCATGGACTGAGGGGGAAATGTGGTTTGTCACACTGGGAGTGAGCTGTCACAGTGTTCCTGTTTGCTCTCTCACTCAGAACCACAGCAGGGTCACTTTGAGGGGAGAACCTGCACACTCTGATCAAACACTTCCCAAACTTTCACAGACACAAATATCAACTGACAGCATTTTCTCTTCCCTCTTCAAACAGGAATCCCTGTCCCAGGGCAAAGCCTCAGCTTTTGGCCAGCTCTGAGCCACACAAACGCCCCCACAGCCTTTGGACAGCAGCAACTGCTCCAGGGCACGTCCCTGCTTCCAGAACAGAGTGGATTTGTCCCAGTGCCTGTTGAGGGTAAGGATGGTGTTGGCTGGTGCCCAGCAGAGCTCACCCTCAGCCCAGCACCCTCCAGGGTCCCCTGCTCTGGGGAGGATCATCCCAGGGTGTTCCACACCAGGGAGTGTCCCTGTGCTGGCCCTGCTGACCCCAGG